CCCCTTGTGCCACATCTGGAACTTCTTGTAGTGGAAGGCATTGCCCGCTTCGCCTTGCAGCCCCTGGCAGCGCAAGGCGGCTGAGGGGCAGAGGTGAAGAAGGAGGGCAACGCAAGGGTGGCACAAACGAGGGTGTCAAGGCGCCTTTTCGTCCTCCTGCACTCCATGCGCCCCGTCTCCAGCATTCCATTTCCCTTCGCCATGGCGGCCCTTTCCATACATTAACAACTGCTCTGAAAACCGACTCTGCGCAAATAGCCGTCTGTGGTAACAAAGTCAAGAGGATGATATGCAATGCGTGCTTCTGCCACTCTGGAGGGCCCTGCATTTATCTGGCGGTATCTTGGAACCCTAGCTAATCCTATCCTGGGTCGTTCTGTATGTTCGTTCAATCCATAGGCTCGCCCTCCTCCGCATCATGCTCCTGCATCTTCGCCTCCCACCCGCTTCATCGCCCTCGTCGCCCTGCGTATGCGCGTCCCACGACACCTGGACAACCACGGAAGAGCAGCGCAATCGATGGCCAATTGGGCCTGATATAAGTCGGCATGCGGGAGGAGAGGCGCGGCAACGTCATGAGGGCGGGTGGACATATCCACCACCGTGCCGTTGGCACTGACAGAAGTATCCTCAGATCCTTTCGAATCCTCTAAATATCGGACGTGATGGAAAGTGATATCGAATTGAACGGAGTCTCCAAAACGCGAAATCGGCTTTAGTGTAAATTCGTGTCATGTGTGACGCGCAAGAAGGCTAAATATCCAAGCTTGACTGAGATAACTTGCCATCACATTGAACTTGCACTCCGCTCGGCCGCCCAACGGTGGCTCCCGAATTGTCCCGTGGTTATCGTAATCGCTTTTCTGATTGTTATCTCTTGGTAACCCCGTGGTTGTCCAATGATTGTCCCGGTGGCTGCCACATGGTCGACCCGTAATTGTTCCACGATTGTCTTATGATTGTCCAGCGGTTGTCTGGTATGGTTGTTCCATAATTGTCCTGGAATTGTCCCATGCGTGTTCCTTTCATGATTGTGCTATGGTCGTCCCGTATCTGCCCAACGGTTGTCCCATGGTTGACCGGTAATTGCTCCGTGTCCAATGGTTGCCTCGTGTTTTTTCCTTGTTGTCCCGTGGCTGTTCCGTGGTTGTCCTGTGGCTGTCCCGTGCACGTACCGCTGTTGTGACTTACTTGACCATTTGGTAAATATGTTTTTTTTCCCCCACGTGTTGCCACGTCCATCAACTTTTGGTGTAGGAGCGTCATGCCTTCCATGGCCAAATCATCGAAACCCAACAGTCGGCTACACGCAAGAGTGACCCTGGAGGGACCTCGAGCCCAGCAAAGCCAGTCTTGGCCAACGCGCCCCTCTGGCAGCCTCCGACTCGGGGGCGATCTCGGCGGCCCCCTGGGCCAGCCGGGGGGCCCCAGGGGCCGGCCCAAGAGGCGAACAATTAGGTCGGGTATGTCCTCCTACAGGCGGGCCATGGGCGAAAGAGTAAGAATAGCCCAAACATATTCAAACACATCTGAAAAGGTAGAAGAAATCTTCCCAGACTAGTTCTTAGACTATTTCTACATATCCGTCCCGTGGAGGGACATGCCCGACTTAAGGCGAAAAGCAGTGAACAACCGTACAGTCGGCCCGTATGATAAGAATGCGCGATAAGGATGCAAGAGCCTTGGACGCCCATTTCTAAGCTTTCCGAGCCCAAGGATGGACCGAGGAGGCAAGGATGCAAGGGCATCCTTGGGAAAATTGCAATCCTTACTATGCGGGTTGACTGTAGAGGGGTGCACGACTCTGTCTCTACTTCCGGTCTCAGGACGACCCAAGAGGCCCTCCAGCTCGCTCCAGGGCGGCCATCACAACATCCTAAGAGCTCAAGAGGCCCCACGGACGGCCCTGAGAGGGTCCTGAAGGGCGGGGATCACGAGCTGACATTTGCAGCTCCTCCAGCAGCTGTGGATATTGCTGCTGCTTCTCCTCCTCTTCTCACTCACCCACCCCTTCCTGCAGGTTCTCGTCTTGATGCTCATCATCATGCGAATCTTCCTCCTCAGCATCCTGGTATTTCCAAGTATCATCATATCCGATCGTCCTCTCGCTGTTCCTGCTGCCAGAGACGGTAGCCGTCTCTTCCCCCAAAGCCCAAGTCCTTCAATTGCCGTGGCAACGATATGGTCACGCGCTGCTCGGGGTCCCCTGCAAACGGGGGCGCATCCTCATCCTGCCCATCCTGGTGCATGCACACGTCCCGATGTGTGCATGGTGTCCGCTCGCAGTGGCTATCGTAATCTGTCCTGATGCAAGGTGCTCCTGACACAAGCTGAGCACGGTCTTATCCTTCTCCTAACAGCTGTGTTCCATGAACAATACCAAACCAGTGAGGGCAGCACGCTGGTGGGCGAGAGCATGCGACAGCAACAGAAAACGAACATGGCTACAAGACATATGTGTTCTCTACCCTCTACTCTCAGACTTCTCTCTCGAACGATTAGCGTCTGCACTAAACGATGTGGCATTCGGCGCTACACTCTGCCCTGCAATCGCCCTGTGACCTCCCACTCCTTGCTCTCTACCTCTTTACTCTCGGCTCTCGTCTCTCCTCTCTATCCTCTGTGATCTGCGCATTAATCATTAACCTCCCACTTCTTGCGCTCTATTCTCTACTCTCGGCTCTCGTCTCTCCACTCTATCCTCTGTGATATGTGCATGATCTCTCTCTCTCTCTCTCCTTCTCTCTCTCTCTCTCTCTATGTGTGTCTCTATCGCTATCCCTGTCTTTTCGACACGATGCTCTCTTCGGGGCGGCCAGGAGGGGGGGCGCAAATCGTGGCCGGCGGCACTTGCGCGGCCCAGGGTGGGGGGCCAGGGGCGTACTGAAATGAGAAGAGGCGCCATGACATCTGGGAAAACATCAGGAACTCCTTGGCAATTTTTTGTGTTTTGATTCGCGGGTCGAGAGCGCACCTCTTCCGGTCGAAGCTGAGCGGGCCGCGCACAGCTCGAACTAACAAGGAGGAGGGGCAGAAGGAGGGGCCTCTCACGTCAAGGCCAGGAGGGGGCAAAGCCCCGGAATCAGGCGGTGCAAAGCGTCCTTGGCAGAACGGCCTTCCGAGAGAGCACGGCCCCGGGACTTGAGAGCCCGGGGCGGGCGCAGACCTTCGCACAGACAGCGGCCGCGGCGCCCTCTTGAGAGACGACGGGACGCAGTTCGCCAACCGACTCGGCAGGGATTTGAAGGCTTTGGGGGGACAGCAACTATACAGATACTTGGGCGCCCGAGTTATCAGAGGTAACTCGGGCCCAGGTTAACTCGGGTTCGGAATCCCGAAAAACGAATCCGAGTTAGCCCTGACCCGAGTTACCCCTGATGATTCGGGGCTCTGAGATACACCGATCCTGCTTCAATGAAATTTGACACCCTCATCGTCTTCCCCGCGCCGCGCAGCTGCGTGCGCGCAGACGCACATATGCAAGCTCCTTGTGACTCGCCAACCAAGAACGAGCTGGATTCCGCGGACCCCAGCCGCCCTCGTCCCTGGCGGCGAAACCCAGCCCGGGCGATTGGCGTATACCATTTTCGGTGTATACCGACAGTCGTGGTGCACCGGGTGGGGTGTGAACACCAATTTGGCGTGATTGATGTATACACTTTTCGGTGTATGCGCATAGCCGTGTCCTGATGTGCTTTGACCCTGACCTTCCAGAGAGCTATTTTTTAGCACGGGGGGCCCAAAACAACCTAAACAACTAAACGAAACAGCCTAAAACCAAGACGTACAATAGCTCGGGGATAGGCTTTTCAGTCGCGTGCTATTTTTTAGCCCTCCTGGCAGGTCAGGGGAGGTGTACGCCGATGCTGCCCTCAGAAGGCACTGGCAGCGTCGGCGGGGGCGGGGCGGGCGAGGCCGGGGCCCGCAGAGGCGGCCGGCCAGCCCCCGAAGAGGGCCCGCACCGGGGGTAAAAGGGGGGGGGGGTCCTCTGTTATCCGGGGCATGCTCCGAGGGTCGGGCTTCTGTCAACCTCCACCGGCGGCGCGCACCAGGGGGGGAAGGGGAGGGGGCAGGTTGCTTACCCTGACCTTCCAGAGAGCTATGTTTTGAGCACGGGAGGCCTCAGAACCTAAAACAACTCAGCCAAACAGACTAAAACCAAGACACATAATAGCTCTGGGATAGATTTTTAAGTCGCGTGCTATTTTTTTGCCCTCCTGGATGGTCAGGGTAGCTCTGCCTAGAAGGGTTCTTACTCGCTTGGCTTAAAGAGCCGGGCAGTGTACCCCGCCCCGGGCGGTTCCCCTGGTCCCCTGGGAGCCAAGCAAAAGCAACAGCAAAGGTAAAAGCAAACGCGCGGTTCCCCCAGTTACGCTCCCTGGGTGCCAAGCAAAAGCAAAAGCAACGGCAAAAGTGATGGCAAAAGCGAAGGCAAAGCAAACGCATAGCATAGCATAGCATAGCATTGCATAGCACAGCGCAGCATAGCATAGCGCAGCATAGCATAGCATAGCATAGCATATCATAACCTAGCCTAGCCCAGCATAGCATTGCGCAGCATAGCATAGCATAGCACAGCACAGCACAGCATAGCGCAGCACAGCATCCACTATTGCTGCTGCTGCTGCTATTACTACATACTACTACTACTACTACTACTACTACTACTACTACTACTACTACTACTACTACTACTACTACTACTACTACTACTACTACTACTACTACTACTACTACTACTACTACTACTACTACTACTACTACTACTACTACTACTACTACTACTACTACTACTACTACTACTACTACTACTACTACTACTACTACTACTACTACTACTACTACTACTACTACTACACTACTACTACTACTACTACTACCACTACTACTACTACCACTACTACTACTACTACTACTACTGCTACTACTACGACTACTACTACTACTACTACTACTACTACTACTACTACTACTACTACTACTACTACTACTACTACTACTACTACTACTACTACTACTACTACTACTACTACAACTACGACGTACTACTACTACTACTACTACTTACTACTTACTACTACTTACTACGCTACTACTACTACTACTACTACTCTACTACTACTACTACTACTACTACTACTACTACTACTACTACTACGACTGGAGCTACTACTACTACTACTACTACTACTACTAGACTACTACTACTACTACTACTACTACTACTACTACTACTACTACTACTACTACTACTATACTGCTACTATACTACTACTACTACTACTACTACTACTACTACTACTACTACTACTACTACTACGACTACTACTACTACTACTACTACTACTACTACTACTACTGCTACGACTAATACGACTACTACAACTACTACGACTACTACGACTACTACGACTACTACTACTACTACTACTACTACTACTACTACTACTACTACTACTACTACTACCACTACTACTACTACTACTAATATTATTACTACTACTACTACTACGACTACGACTACGACTACTACTACTACTACTACTACTACTACTACTACTACTACTACTACTACTACTACTACTACTACTACTACCGCTACTGATACAACTACGACGATGAGGAGAAGGAGGAGGACGGCGTTTACTGCTCCTACTAATGTTGCTTTCCTAGAGGCTCCAACTCCTAGATAGGGTCGCACTGGGATAATTTAGCCCTCCTGGAAGGTCAGGGTACAAGGTGGCTGCTTCTCAGAAGGCGCCGGCCTTCATCTGTAGACAAGGCCCGCGCCTTCCAAGAAGCATGGGCGCTTCTAAGAAACCTCCCCCCTCCCCCCACAGTCGGACCTAGGCCAGGAACACATCCCTCGAGAACATGAGACCCGTCTGCGGCCAAAACACACACAATATCTGGGGGTATCCTTCCAATGATGCACGAAACCATCCACCAAGCAAGAAAAACACAAAGGTACCCTCCCAGAACCAACCTCGATCTTGTACCTCGGTCCGGCTGTAACCCTGGAGGCCTCCTAGATGGGTCTGAGTAAATGGGGTCGGAGGATCGGGCCGCATCGCCAGTGCATCGGCAATGTATCGGCGATGCATCGCCGACGTCGGCGACGCATCGGCGAGGTTGGCGTGGAGTAAATCGGTCTCCATATCGAGCCGCGTCATCGACGCATCGGCGATGCTGCGCGATCATCCGACCCCATCTACTCGGACCCCATCTAGGAGTCCTAGATATACTTAGGTCGGGCACACACCCCTGCAGACGGATTTCAGGCGACGAATGCAACATATACAGAAAATGCTCAACAATAGCCAAACATAGTCAGAAACATCGTCCTCCCAGACTATGCCAGGACTGTTTTTGAACACTCCTCCTGTATGAGGGACAGGCCCGACTTCAAGACATGATATAGCCGAGCGGCCCGACTGTCACCGCCCTCCTGCGCGTGAGGCCGACCCCGACCTTCTTGAGCAGGGACCGACCGTCCCGGCATTCCTGTAGTCCTACCACGAAATGTTCTAGAACCCCAAAATGTTCTAAGAACAAAGGCAATGTCCTTAGAACATTAACCCGACGTGTTAAAGCAAGACAGACTCCGCCAGAAACGTGCTGAGAACACCTCGTGAACACCACAGTCGGTTCTTGGGACATCGCTTGGCAGGGCTCTGGGCGCGCCAGGACGCTTCGCCACTGCTTGAGCCCTCCCCTCCCGCCGGCGGGCCTGCGATGACCGGCATGGCCGCCGCGCCAAGAAGGGAGAGGGGGAAGGGGGAGCCAAAGAGGCCGCGCGGCCCACGCTGGGGAGCGCCCCGGGGGGGGGGGGCGGCGCTGACGGAGGGTGAAACGGCTTCGTGCGCGACGAGGGTCTCGCCATCGCTCGGACGTCCATTCCCTGTGTTTTTTTCGGTTTCGTGCGTGGTTTTTTTCGCCAAATGATCGATCAATGATGCTCCTCGATTGTCCTCGCCGAAGGAAAAATGCACACGTCCGAGCGATGCCAAGGGGTCGGGGAGGCAGGAGCGCGAGAAAGGGCGAGGGCGAGGAGGCAGCTCGATCGGGAGGCGGGTCGGGAGCAGAGCGGGGAGGAGAGCGAGGAGTGGGAGCGCGCGAGCAGGAGGAGAGGAGAGGGGGGGGGGGGGGAAACGGGGAACGAAGAGGGGGAGGAGGGGAGGAGGAGGAGGAGGAAAGGAGGAGAGACAAGGAGGCAGCTCGATCTCGGGAGGCGGTTCGGGTGCAGAGCGGGGAGGAGAGCGAGGAGCGGGAGCAGGAGCAGAGGAGAGGTGGGGGGGGGAACGGGGAACGAGGAAGGAGGAGGAGGAGAGGAGGAGAGGAGGAGGAGGAGGAGGAGGAGGAGGAGGAGAGGAGGAGGAGGAGGAGGAGGAGGAGAGGAGGAGGAGGAGAGGAGGAGGAAGGAGGAGACAAGGAGGAGAAGGAGGAGAAAAGAAGGAGGAGAAGGGAGGGAGGAGGAGGGGAGCAGGATCAAGATACGGGGATCAGCGGTCCTCGGCAGAAGGCGTAAGAAAGGGGGGTTGAGGATGAAGAGAGAGAGAGAGAGAGAGAGAGAGAAAGAAAGAAATAAAGAAAGAAAGAGAGACAGAGAGAGAGAGAGGAGGAGGAGGAGGCGGAGGAGGAGGAGGCGGAGGAGGAGGGGGGGGAGGAGTAGGAACAGGCGGTGATCGGTCTTCCACTCTCTGCCCTCAAACTGCGAGCGAGCGAGCGAGCGAGCGAGGCGGGGCGGGGCGAGGGCAGCAGCAGCAGGAGCGGGAGGAGACGGAGCGACGGCGCAGGGCGGCGCGAAGGAGGCGGCGGCGGCGGCGGCGGCGGAGGACCTTCCACGACCGGGACCGACCTGCACGGACCACGGTCGGCTCGACCTGGAACGGCGGGCCCCCCCGGAGCTTCCCGAGGGGATCTCCCGTGACACCAGAAAGACCGAGGGCACGATCAGGAAGCAGGCGGCGCAGCAAGACGCCCGAGGGCACACAACGCAAAGCACCGAGGGTGTACAGAAACCCAGGGGCATCCTCCCAACAAAAACGAGGGTGCAACAAACACGGCGAGGGTACCACACATCCGAGGGCACCACAGACAACCAAACGTCGAGGGCATACACGTCGAGGGCATACACAAACGTCTTTGCGCTCCTGGCCCCACGGCGAGGCGGGGCCGACCGCCGCCGCCCGCCGATGCCGGGCAGCAAAAAGCCGGCCGTGCGCCCCGTCGGGGCGGAAAGCAGCGGCCCCGGCCGAAGGCGGCGATCGGGGAGACGCAAAGACTCGGGCCCGACGGGGCCGTCCACGAAACTGACGAGATCCGGTCTGAAACTTGACGCGAGCTCCCGCTGCAAACATCCCACGAAGACTGGGCCGTCAAGATCCCCGACGCGTTCGTCAAGAAACCACGGCGAGCCCGAGTTCTGGCTTACTCGAGTCTTACACGTCGTTCATTTCTGATCGTGCTCAGTTCTAATTGTGCTCGTTTCTAATTGTTCCTGGCCCCCCTAGTGGCCAGGAAGAGGCCCAGGTTAGAACACGTAGAAATGAAAGGATCTTGGCCTCCCAGAAAATCAAAGAACTTTCGAATAATTGATTAACTATGCGTACTCGAGTATTACCGTTTCCCCGAGCCGAGGGGCCAACAACCGGGGGCGAGCGGAACGAGCCGAGCGGCCCCCGCCGACCGCTGGGGCCGGGCGCTCCCCGCGACGACCAGATCGCCCTTGTCGTTTGTGGATCGCTCGCCTCAGTGCCACCGCATCTTGATTGCAGATCGCGCACTGCTGCCATGTGGGGCTCCTCAGCGGACTGATGAGCCCCACGGGCAGAAGGAGTCCCGGTGCAGTAGCGGCTTCTTGCACCTGGAGATTGCCACGTCGAAGCAGTAGAAGACGAAACGAGGACGAGGATAAGTTCGCGTGGCGGTGAAACCAGGGACTTCTAGACCCTCGGGTTTTCTTTACCCTGAGGTCTTTATATGCCCTCGCGTTTTCTAAGACGACGACGACGACGACGACGACGCCGGAGGCGCCGGCGGATCAGAAGCAGGAGAACGCGCGAACACTTTTAGGAGCCACCTTGGCTCAAAAGCACTGCTCGGAAAGACTGGACTCTGGTTATCATTGGTTTCAGATGCAGTGGTTGGCGCAGATGTCATGTTTGGCTGGATGCGAAGACGCTTCGCTTTCAGTCCTGTCTGCGAGGGATTGGAGGTCCAAAGCTCTCATGTTCCCCCCCTGCCAATGGCACAGATCAGTTCCAAAGTAGATCGCTATGTGTGATGTAATGATTGCGTAATGCGCATGCGTGTATGTGTACGGGGGGCCGCTGCTGCATTTGACTCAAAACATTGTAGGGGGCCCTGAGCTGATAGACACTACGAGCGAATATTTCCGATTCCTCTTCAGTCCAGTTCGTATTTATTCTGCTCTCAAGCTTCGTGTGTGGGAACCTCAGTGGTTCCAGTGGTGTGCGACCGACAAGCAAGAAGAGAAATATAATAAACAAATGAAGCAGAAAGAAGGCAAGCGGGAGAGAAGAAATAGGGACGAGAGGGGCATGGAGAGGAGGGAGCCACATCAAACATCAAACGAGAAGCCCTGGACTGGAACCAAGACGGTGCTGCTGCTCGTGCAGCATGTTCAGACGTCTTGGAGGTCTTCGTAAGAACGATTACATGCTAGTAAATCGGGGGCCAAATGAGAAGTGATTCCGCTGGACTACACGGGATTATACCGGACTGCGCCGTTTTTTCGACCGCGGACATTCCAGGGGCGATGCTGAATCCAGCCTCCCAGGAGTTGCATCCTAAAGCTTTGTGGCATTAGCCACCCATCAGATAGCAGATGACGAATTCGATCCGTCGCCCTGGACGGGATCGGCTCTGGCGGGGAAGCGGTCCAGCGCTCGCCTGGCGCCACTTGCAACTGGGTGGTGGTTGGCACTGTACGGGCTCCCCGTTAGTCCTGCAACTCGCCATCGTTCGGACGTCCATTCCCTGTTTTTTGTTCGGTTTCGTGCGTGTTTTTTTCGCCAATTTAACAGGGGATATGTCGACCCCTATCCCAGGCTTCGTGGGGTTTCCGAATGGACCAGAAATTTGGGGCCTAACCCTGGGATATACGATGGGGGGGTGTCCATTCTCGATAGGGGTGCGTCCGAATAGTAGCCCCCTTGGGGTGCATCCCAGGGTTTTCCCATTCTTCTGAGCGGCCAGACTTTTCGGGCGAAACTCGGGGATTGGGGGAGAAACATCGCCCGCGACAATTGATCGAGGATGCTCCTCGATGGTCCTCGCCGGCGGAAAAGTGCACACGCCCGAGCGATGCCAAAAGGCAACACGCGCCCCCCACGACCGGGCCCAGAGCGCCCGCCGCCGCGGCTCCTCCGATGGCGGGGCGACCCCTGCCCCCGGACGAAGACGAAAGAGGCAACCCCTGGAGGGCCTTCGTAAGAAAAAACTGAAGGGGCCCCAGGACACACAAATAAATACACACAAATAACAAGATTCCCCATATTTTCCATATTTTCTGGGTTTTTGTCTTCCCCCCCACTTCCCATATTTTCCCATATTTTCTGGGAAGTCGACGGTTAATTGTGTCTGTGTGTTTTTTCCCCTCCTGAACATGGGCACGGCAAGGCCATCGAGCCAGATGCAGCTGCACGGAACGGAGTGGAGCAGACGTTCGCGCGGGTCTGCAAAACAAGGAAGGCCTGCTGTGGGGAAAGCAACCCTGACAAAGACATGCAAAGCTCGGAGGTCCGCGCGGATTTCTCGGATCGGCATTGGACCCCCCTCCCTGGCGCGCGGAGCGCGCCAAGGGCGGCGCCGGCAGCACCGTTCCGAGAAATCCGCGCGGACCTCAGAGTTTTTGCATGTTTGTGTCATTGTTCGTTCCCCTGTGCTTTCGACCACGGATATACCAGCGCCGATGCAGAATCTGACCTTCCCGGAGTCGCATGACAGGAGGAAGACAGAAAGGAAAAGGAGGCGGTGGCGGAGCTCGTGGTCTGTGGGGCATTATTACCGACCATGCTTGCCCAAGCTAACTTGGGACAAAACGTTGTAACCGTTGACGCGACTGGGTCTAGTGGGACCTGGCTTAGCGATGTTAGAGGAACGAAGAATGACATAAACATAAAAACTCGGAGGTCCGCACGGATTTCTCGGATCGGCGCTGGACCCCGGACCCTCCTCCCTGGCGCGCGGAGCGCGCCAAGGGCGGCGCTGGAGGCGCCGCCAGGGGGGTCCAGCGCAGATCCGAGAAATCCGTGCGGACCTCTGAGTTTTTATGTTTATGTCATTGTTCGATCCCCTAGATGTGTACCAAAGGGACACCCCCGCCGCCCTATTCCACTAACTGGAACAGCCGCCCCCCGAACAACGCTGGCTACGGCAGACCTGGTTTAGTTGATTCTGGCCTTCTGGCCAATTCGGGGGGCTCCAGGGCCCAATCTAGGGAAACGAACAATGACATAAACATAAAAACTAGGAGGTCCACGCGGATTTCTCGGATCGGCGCTGGGGACCCCTGGCGGCGCCTCCGGAGCCGCCCCTGGCGCGCTCCGCGCGCCAAGCAGGGGGGTCCAGCGCAGATCCAAGAAATCCGCGCGGACCTCCGAGTTTTTATGTTTATGCTATTTTTCGTTGCTCTACAATCGCTGACCGACTCCCCTTTCCCCAGGGTCCTGGCTATATCAGGAAATGGTGAAAGAGAGAGAGGAAAGATGCGCACACCGTGGAGCACGCGCGCGAGGGGTGCAGGACCGTGCTGCCGGGTGCCAGGGATGCCGCAGTGGCGGTGCCGGCGCCGGTGACCAGCGGCGAGCCAGCGGCGGAGGCGAAGTCCTGGCG